GGGGCTTATGTCACTCAGTCATCTTGAACTGGTGTCTCGTGCCCCTGAGCTGGGGATGCGAGGCTTTGTCCCCTCATCCACGCTCCGTGGGGCTACTCCCTGTCTTACTGCAGGTCGAGTCCAGGGGAAGTATCTGGCTGGAGAAAATAATAATTAAAAAAGTTTTAAAACGCCAAAAGGTGCACAACCAGCAAGGGGGGGGGGGCGCCATCTCGGAACAGGGGAATGACATTATCACCTCGTTCGTGCTACTGCCTCACTGCCCTTTCGCCTTTTACTTTGGAGCCCAGAATTTCAGAGCTTTCACAAAGTGTCTCCAATCGGAAGGGGAGAAAATTAGGAGCAGAGGCCTTACAGGTGCATAGTAGTGGGGGGGGGCAGAGAATGATTCTTGTGAGCTTGATTATACTTCCTTGGGAAACTGCCGAGATGTCGGGCCGCTGATGTAAAGTAGTTATTGCCGGTTTCCTCTCTGTTGCCGGGCCAGCTGTTTAAAGTTAATGGGTCCGATCCGCCATCCACCCCACCGACGGTACACTGGCCTGGCCCTTCGCGACGGGCCGGCGCAGGCGGCCTCGCCTGGCATCGCATGGCCTGCAGATGTAGAGGCAAAACTCCAGAGGACTTAATGTTAATCCTAACCCAGTGCTCCCTGTACCCGCAGCCCCCCTGCCATATGCCCCCCCCCCAGCCCCCACCATGGTCTATGTTATTCCTGACATCTAGGAACACATAAAATTAATAGACATCACTAATTAAATGACCTCAACATGGGCAAATGGGATCTTAACAAAGCAGCCCGTTACGGCTCGTCATGAATCAGTGTGTCATTTGCGCGCCGTCAAAATGAGTTAATCCTTGCTGAACATAGCAGCCTAGCTGTTAGATGTAAATTCCTAAAGATTGTTTTGTATTTTTTTTTTGATAAATGGGACCGCGGATCACAAATGGATCCATTCAAACAAAAGACTCTTCCCCTCTTGCTGTCATGTAAAGATTTTATTCTAATCAAGCAGACAGAGACACAGATTATTCCTTCATGTTTGGCTTCCAGTCTCTCTATAAAAGGACCTATTGCAAATGCAGGCCTACTGGAAATGCTAAATTAATACATCATGTCAGTTTCAAGTTTTCTTGTGTAATAATCATCTTGTATAATTTAATGCATAACCCTAAAAAATCTCGCATAAGCCAGCACGTTCTATGCAGTCTGGTTTCTGTAACTATACCGAGCCATAATCAGAGGTCATTTTTCTTTAAATCCTGAGATCCTAATAACCTTTCCAAAGTTTGCCTCTCCAGATCTCCGTTTTTTTTTTGTTTTGGAGTGAACATTCACACACCTGTTCATTAACCTGGCATATAGATGTTAAGAGGTTATTTTATTAAGCATTTTATTCTTGTCATCATTATCTCGTTGCTGTTAAATTGACTGTTGATTTGCTCACTGTTCATTATCTCAAATTGTCACCTTATTTACATACACCTAAAAGTTTAAAACTTAAAAAATTCTGGCTGTATTCTTTCTAGAGCTTGGACTCAATCTATTTATTAGTCTTGGAGTTAATCGTTGCAGTGTGTTTTGTGTAATGTTTGTTCGCTTTTTTATAATTAAACATTAACAGCAAGTTTCCCTTGAATAAAACGCTCATCATTTTCCCACAGCGATTTCAGCCAGTTAAGATTTTCTTCGCCCTGCAATGAAGAGGCGCGATTTTGTGCTGAGGGTGACTTTGTGGCCATAAACCAGTCGCTCCCAGAGACTGCTGTCCCGAAGAGAGTTACGCGTTTGCGGTCCCGAATTATCGCCTGGCACTCCACCCTGCCATTCTAACGCTGATTGTTGGCTTGTGCCACTGGGCACAGGGGAGACATGTGAAAGACATTACCTGCAGGGTGAAGCCCACATGATTGTGTTTAAGAGGTTTACAATGCTCATTAACAGCACCCCACCACAGCCTCTGGCAGGCTTGTCTGACTGCTCTAGTCAGCGGCTACGCTCCGCCGCTCTCCCAGCCCAAGCGTCAGCCAGCCGCCGCTGGAACGGCATGAGCGGGCAGACAGTGGAGGGACGGGGGAATTAAGCGGCGGCTTAGCTGCGCCATTTCTCCCTTCGTACGCGCTGAGCGGTCGTAGCAGAGCGAGACTGATTGGACGGGAGCATGAAGAGGAGCTATATGAAGAAGTGCAGGCTCGAGCCCAGTTTGTTTTGCTTGAAACGCTGCTCGTTGCCGGCGCTTCGGACGGACGCGCGTGTGCGCATGTGCGGCTCGTACAGTAGAGCTGTTTTTAAGCGGCTAGAACGGAGCCCAGATATAATCCAGACACTTCCTCCTGCCTCCAGTGTAGGCCAATGAATTTTGTCAAAGACACTTGGGTTATTTTTAAAGAGATTATTTAGCGCCATAAAAATAAACTGCTTCTTGCTCACTCGTTGCTAAACGGTTTAAAAATCAGTGTTGAGGTTTTTTTTTTTAAAGCATATCAGTTTAAATGTATTTTCATTATCCGGTTATTATCATTATTCTGACTTTGTTTCTCATTATTGGCATTCTTTTTGTTTGCGGGAACAATTACAACCAAAATTAGTAGCAGGAAGCTGCAGCCTGACTAGTTATTATCTCGAGTTTTATCTTCGACGATTCATTGTTCTCGGAAGCGTACAACATCAATCAACACAATCGCGACCCTTACGCATCTGACTCCATGCAAGTACCATGAAGCATCGTCCTAAAACAGCTTTCATCAGTCAAATGGGAGCCTTTACTGGCTAAAGTGTGTGCGTGTGTGTGTGTGTGTGTGTGTGTGTGTGTGTAACTGATTAAAAAATACTCGTATTGGTTTGTCAATTGAAGCATTTCCTTGACAGTCCATTTCCCTGACACCACAATGTTTTCTTGACACGAGACACTCCTGTGGTTTCAGCCTTTATTAAGAGGGGACATAAAGGGACACAACACAGAGCATTTTCTCAAGTGTAAAAATCACCTTTTTGCTTTGCACTGGCACTACTTGAAGTGTAGTCTTCACTGGAAATGTTCAGTGCTTAAATAAACAAATACGTGTACTTCGGGGCTTAAGAAGGGCAATTTGCTCAAAAGGCATGACAAATTGGTTTTAATCTCTAATAATAATTTTAGGATACAGATAATTTTACCATGTCATTGCCCAGAGAACATGAAAATGGTCCTTCTAAATGTCTAAATCTAAGTGTATGCGTAGCTTGCCTGAAATATGACTAAGTGCGCAAGAGTTCTTGGTTCATTTGTCTAGATTTAAGGACCACACTCTAATCCACTTACTTAGTTTAATTAGCATTTTTCTTATTTAGAGGAACACATGAAGCCTTTTTGTCATTCTGAGAGCATGATTTGTTAGTGACTTCAATAAGTGGAACGTTCAGGTTCATAGATTACAAATTCAGATCAAGATTTTGTCTCAACTAACTAGTTGAGTACTCTGTGACAGTGACTCTTTATGTTCAACTGGTTGGTTGAAACAAAATCTTGGTCTGGATTTGTACTTTCTAGACCCAAACCTTCCACCTCTAGTGACTGTATACCTCTTTGGGGACACCGTGGGGTGGAAAAAACACTTTTTTTTCCAGTGCTGTCTGGTTCTTCAATGCTCTTAATTAACATCCATAAAGTAAAATGTTGCCCTTTGCAAGAAGTAATTTCTCGTTGGGTTTTTTTATTGTAATTTTCCTCTGTCAAATTAGTAGGGGCCATATCTTAAAAAGAGTTGATCCAGAAACGGCGGCCTCACGCACCATAGCATGCTTTGAGGCACAAAAGGGTCTTGTTGGCACTACCAGACTCTGAGACGTGAGACTTAAGTCTTAACCAAATCATAATTCTGATCCGCCCCCTAATCACTCACATGCACACCAGTTTTTCAGGAACCTGGTCTGCTTATGAATAGCAGATATAAACATGTGACTGTAAAGGAAAGCATTGCCTAACTTCAGGCCTGTGCGTCATGAGTAAAATGCAGACTGAGATTTTCAGTCCCTTTTGTGTTCGCTTTCGTTACAGTCACATGGCTTTCTGCCAGGCTTATTCTTAACCCAAGTGTGTGTTGGAAAAGTGCAGTCACACTAATGTCTTCCTTTTTCCCTCTTCCTGGATATGGAGATGAATGTGCTTACAAGATGCCCTGGAGTGTGAGCACCACAGAGTTTTGTATGACATCATTGTCTTTGTGGCAAGTTGCACACAGCTTCGCCCAGTCTGCCGCGCATGTCATCAGAAATGGTCTCCTAGCTGAGAGAATGCAGACGCATCCAACCAATGACGTGTCAGTTACCTTATGATGTCGCCCATTAAGCTGCATAAGGAACATCTTTATTTTAGGGAGATTTACATGTGTTTCCATGTAGGTTCAGTTACAAAAAACACTGACAGTACAAATTAACATGTCTTTATAAGAGTACCTGGGTGTACAGTTAATGATGTGTTCCCAATATTGATACTTTATAAAACAGCTAATTTCAATTAGCTTCAAATAAAACAATGCAGATTTCAATGATATTTACAGGTGTGTTAGCCGTTATTTTAAAACAGAGGTTGTATGGCTGTGTTGGGCACAGAATTTTCAAATGCAGACCATTATGTGATTGCTAGTCCTTTCCAAACAAAACTACCCTTAAAAACATGCAGTAATGGTAGCATGTTGAGAGTCAGGGTTATTCAGAGTAACTGACAACAAGAAGCACAATCCCATTTGATGGATGTTTTTATATAAATCTTTTAATGAATTTTCAAATAAAAATTACAATACTCTGACACATTAACATTTTATATATAAACAAAACTTACATTCGGCAAATATATATTACCACATCATTTTGTTACAATGATGTGATATTATATGATATATTTGATGTTTTAAAAATTCTAAGTAAAACATTGTATAAATTATACATTTTAAATTCAAACGAAATACAAACAACTCAAATATTAGCTAACTCATGATATTAGCTAAGTTCTCCCCAAACGAGCTTGATGGGCCGAATGGCCTCCTCTCGTTTGTAAATTTCTTATGTTCTTATGTTCTTATGTTCTTATGTTCAAAGATATGTGCAGACAGAAATTTAAGGCACCAAAAAAACAGCAGTAAAGGAGTTTAATTTAGGATTTGATTTGCTGATGCAGGATACAGTGGCATTATGGCATCCTCAGACATTACCTGATCATTCGTGGGAAACTGATGTGCTGTTGGCATGATGACCGGGAACCTCTGCTGAAAAGAAGTAGGGCAGTATGGAGACAGAGGAGTAACTGCATGTAGAAAATACAGGCCAAGTCATTGATCTTGTGTGTGTCGTTATCCAGTTTTTACCTATAAAGAATCACACACCGGCTTCTTCATCACACATTCAATTTAGTATGTGTTTGTAGTATTGATTGCACAATGCTGAACCTAACATTTCACATTTCTAGATGAAACTGAATTATCAGCAGTCATTTGTATCAGTCTATAAAAACAGGTTTGATGTATCAGTTATTCAACAGAGCAGATAATACAGATTGTTTTCCAACTATTCTCATGGGAATTGATGTAACCTCTAAGGTATTTGGCATGCAATATATATAAAGACTCAGCTGCATCTTCAGGTGACTCCTCCGATTGAAGGCATGTGGAAGCCATCTGAAGGTGTATGGATGGATGAATGGATGGATGATGCCTTATAGGAGGCGGGGCTTAAATGAAGCGAGGCCCTCACACTTGGTGGTGATTAATGCACAGACATAGCAGGCCACACTTCTGAAGATTTATTCAGCACAGAAGCCTAATAAACTTATTTTAAAGCTGAAGTTGAAAAATTGCAAAAACGCAGGTTTGTTTTGGCTCGACGGTATGTTCCATTTTCCCGCGGCAGACTACTGGTCTACAGGCGGCCCTTTTATTGCCCGCATTTCACTACGAAAGCAGGGAAGGAACGGCTTTGTGTAATAAACTCATGGCAACACAAAAAAAAAAAATGCTGGCAGCCATTTGGAGTGCATACTAAAAAATTTCTGACCACAACTCGTAAACCACACTTTATTTACACTGGCTCCTGCTCTTTATTTGTTCATAGGCTTTCTCTGAGAAACGGCTGCCAGTTGTTGCCATGACGTTCTATTAGGCGGGTCAGAATTGCCCCCATCAGTAACTGCACACCTCTGTGGTAGCAGTGGGCATGGAGAACAGC